CTGATCTGTTCGAGATGAGAATAGCAGCCCTGTGCATTTTACCCGCCCGCTTGGTCGCCGGCCAGATCCACCGGCGTAGCGCAAATCTATGTGTGACGTCGTACCTTTAGTCTACAAAGGGCAGTCGTTCGTCGCCCCTTTAGAGGGGCGCAGGTGGAGATTTGTGCGACTTTATATATGTTTCGGCTCTTCTACCGCTGCCTGCTGCATGTTGTTTTCTGCCCGATGATGGGGCGTCACAGTGCAGGGTGGATCGACCGGAAGATGCCTGGTCACAAAGGAACGAAAAAGTACACAGCAGAGACGTGGCGCATGGCTACTGTAACCACCTGGACAGCCACCGCCCTATCGCAACTCGTCTCGGTGAGACTTGTTCTTTTGTCGCCCACCTTTCTTCGGCAGTCTGGATGCGGAAGCTTCTTCGGACCTTTTTTCCTTCTCTCTCTCTTCCAAGGTTTCTCCTTTCAGTAACTGCCCTTTTGAGGGAGGGCCTAGATGGTGGGTTAGGTCTGGATGTGATGCGTTCGATCGTGACTTCCTCATCTTTCCTCACTGAGATCGGTGTCTTGTGCGCGCGTTTGAAATCGCGAGAGAAGGCATGGCGAGAAGACAAAACAAGGTCAAAGTGAAGCTGGTCGTTACAATTGCAAATATGGAGTCTAGAGCTGACATGGGTATAGATCTAGATTGCCTGTCGTGTCTGTCTGCCCGGGATATCCTGAGAACATCAACTCAACACGCGGGTTCTCGCTCAACTTCAAACCAGGACCTTTCAGCTCTCATTTCGTGGCTATCTCGAGATGTTAGGATGGAGCGCAGGTACCTTTGTGATTTGCTTGTTACATGCCTGCCTCGGTCATTGCCGTCATTTTCAGCTTCTTTGTCAAGCAGCACGGCCGTAGACTTCAGCGACATCTGCCAGCCACCTATCTAGATGCTGTTTCACATGCAGATGCGGTACGCGCATGTGTAAGTGCGGGTGCGGGATGTGGAAGTGGTGTTGCATCTTATCCAGGTCTTGCTTGTGAGAGCGGTAGAGGTGTCTTTGGTGATGTAATGGGTGTTCGGTAAACTGTCGTTGTATTGATGACAAGAGATGTGTCGTATGGAAGGGAAATTTATACATTCCTTTCGGAGAGGAATAGCTCTATCGTTACGCAGTCCTGCTGATTCTCGAGAGGTCTGCGAGATGGCGTTATGGTGGTATTATGTGGAGTGACTCTCACGATCACGCCCGCTTATGGAGCAAGCAAGGTTGACGTTTAGCCGGCAGACAATCCTCACGCCACATCTACCAACACTGTGACACAGCGATATGATTTCGCTCACCTACGCAAGATTCCTCTAATGACGCGAGTACACGCTGACTTGATCTTCTTTATCCTCGCTTTCTTCCTTTCTTGGTGTTCCTCTTCCTCAAGCTCCATCATGTGCTTTCGCTGCATCTGCTCTCCTGCAGAAGAGAGACTTGGTTGTGGTTGTGTTTGTGGTTCGCTCTTGACAGAAGCAGTAGCAGTGCTGAGATCACCACGCTCTCGCCCATCTGTGTCCATACTAGACGCTCGGGTTGTAGGTGCGCTAGCATGGGGACGACCTCGTCGCCTCTTCTCACTATGCGCATATCAGTGTCTGGTACCACAGTACAGCCAAGAGGTATCACTTACGCAGCGTCTTGACTCCAACTCTTACCTTGACTAGTATGATTCATCATATGCGGCCCCTCCATCTTCCTCGCCGGCACCAACTCAATCCCGAAAGGCCTGCCACGAACCCAGCCCTCATTCCGCACCATCCTTCCCTTCCCCTTGTCTATCCTACCAAATCGGTCTATTCTGGGATACTCGACAGGCGCCCTGGTCATCTTCCTAGGCCGTGGCGCATGCTCAGGTCCTGGCCACGTACCCGAAGGGCTAGTGTACATGGAAGACGGTGAAGAGTGGTGCGTGTTGCGAGGAGAGTTTGGAATGTAAGCGAGGGAAGAGGGACCAGGGATGCATGGCGAGACTCGGCATGTTGGACTGCATGTTTGAGGTCGCGGAGTGGTATCGGCGCAAGGATTGGGGAGAGGAATGGGGACCCAGTCGAGGACGCATGGTACCGAGGGTTGGTGATCGTCGGTTGAGGAATGGTAGGTCTGTTGGTAAGGGTTATTGAGGGTAAACTTTATGCTAAGGCCACGATGATACCAGTGATCAAGGTCTGAGTGTTGTCTGCGTGGTCGTCTGTTTCATAAGTATACTTGCTCTCATCGCTGACGAGAAAGGTTGACGCGGCTTTGCTTTCACATTCGCTCGATCTCGGCCTTAGCACATTTAGGATTACAGATCGGAACAAAAAATGTTAAAGACCCTGAAGCTGAACTTCCAGCTGTTTCGCCTTCCGAAACATTCGCTGCGAACGACTTACCTCGCACTGTCCTCCTGCTTCCCCGTTAGAAGCCATGTACTTGTTCTTTTTTCATCCGTAGATTCAGGGTAAAACGTTTAATTCGGGGTAACGCGATGGTCTAGGCTTGAAGGGGGCTCTTGCACTGGTTGTCTTTATTTTTGCAGCTGTCCAGAACACATGGTACTGTGCGCTTTGGCGAGCGAATGAAGTTGGCCATATTTAGGATTTTGGTGTTTTGACATCTAGCTGGACCGTGGGGGTGAGTCGCTACCACTAATTTCTCTTCAGCTCGTGGTTTATGTTGAGCTGTTTCCACGTTGCTGTTCCGACAAGCAACGAGAAAGGACCTGAATCTAGGTACATGGCTCGCAATGCGAAGACTGGTACACGGAAGCTGAACATCGTGTGGTGTTTGATTCGGAGAACATTAGTACACAGGCGAAGGCGATAGTGATGTGGTGAGGCTATTCGGCATAGATGCGAGCGCACATATGAGTGTGACGAAGGCTATGTGGGCGAGCCGTGCAGTGTGCTAGAAGCGAAGGTGGCCTTGAAGTTCTCAACACGCCTACCTCTCTCAACAACAGCAGGCTATCGCATACAGGCGACACGATGGCTGGTGCCATTGCCTAGGTCCGGATCTTAGCTGGCCGTTTGACATTCGTTTTGTAAAGCGGTAACTGATGGTGGCTCAGCATTTTGGTTCGGCAGTACCAGTGCCACAGCGTCTTTCCTCACCCACCCTGATTATTTTTTCATCGGAGAAAATGTATCCGCCAAATGATGGAGGGTACTCGTCATGCCGACTTCGCTTCGAGGAATGAAAAAGGATGTTTCTGTATGCGAGAAGGGTAAACGATAGTGTCGATTCAGACTCTGCAGTTACACACGTAGTCAACGAGATCTACAAAGACCCAAGGGATACTAACGCGGATCCAGTCACGTCTGTATTGCGCAAGCGGTGAACACGCGTTGCATCAGTCTGAATGAGGATGAGCAAAGTGCATGCACTGTCGTGACTGCCCAGATATGATCAACCTCTTAGCGCCATGACGCACACACACACTCGCCCTTTCTTTCCTTTTCGGTCACTTAGGGTCCACACCAACTCCAGCAGACCCTCCAACACCATTTACCCCAAAGCGAGCTTGTGCCTCTCGAACGAGCTAGCTCTATAAGCGAACACGTCGATCGAATAACCTTGCGTGAGAGACTATGGACTTGCTTCTTACACTCTGCGAGGCTTCACGCCAATTTACTTTTTGGGGTCACCACCACACACCGTAATTTCTCCCTGCAGTAAACTGTCGCTACACCTCCTTTACGAAGCTCGTATCTAAACTTCGACTATGGCTGCACTTCGGTAAAGGTGATTGCGGGCCTCATTCGGTAACTGGAGTTTCGAATTGGGAAGAGGATGGCTGAGATTGACTAGGACTATCTGCTATCGTGAGACTATGCCTCGTTGAACCTCCTACTGTAGATACGTCGCGGCTGCTTGCATGCTGCTTGTCGCTGTCACCTGCATCGTCGTTCCGCTTGTCTCGCTTCGATCTAAGTAGAGCCTTGACCGTCCTCGTGACTAACATCTCCTGCTGGAGCATCCCCTTGGGTAGGTGGATCGTCTCCACAAATTGTCGTTATCATTCCCTCGATTTCCTCAAGAAACTTTCGCGAATGTTCTACCATACGGACCAGGAATGCCATGGATTCACTGAACAGTCTATCGCGATCCTTCCTGTAATGCTCGCAAAGAACCTCTTGACAACCGTGGTGATCCTTCAGGGCTTTGTGGATGTCGAGCAAAGAATCATAGTATGTTTCTAGTTCCGTGGTGGTCCAGGTTGGGTCGCGATCTAGTGTGGACATATTGATGTTGATGATCAAATAATGGTGAGGGTGCTGGCTTGTAGTGCGACACAGTTATATGTGAAGGTTCGTTTGCGACCTATAGACAAACCGTGTACTACGTGATTAGCGAGTTTCAAGCAACAAACAAACTATCACGACAGCAATTCATTGATAGCATGACTGACTTCACAGTGACATTTGAGTGCTGAGCGCAACATGCCCAACATGATGTATGATAATTTGACAGTCTGATTTCCTATAGAACATCACAGACTGATTCATGCCGAGTATGTGCGTTATATAGGCTGCTGACTTGTCAAAGAGTTTGTGTAGACTGCTTGAGCCTTTTGTGGTTTGGAGATAGACAGCTTGAGCCGGCACGAGGCTACGAAAATCTGATGTCAGAACTGCCGTAGTGACACAGCAGAAGCTAGAGAAACAGGTAGCATTTCTTCTATAGCCATCTTAAACTTAATGTATCATCATGACTTCTGCGTAGATCTGGTTTAAAGATTTCATCGCTTCAATATATACTGTATGCTGCAAGACTCAACTCAGGCTCTCACAACGACACTAGAGACTGACCATCATCAGTCATATGTCTCCGCTACGCATACCTCATCGTCCTCGTATGCGACTGAACATGACATTTGAAAAGAAGAAAATAAAAAACTATCGCGAACGTACTCCACGGGCGAAAAACACCGGCTCTGGACAGCGTCGAGGCAGCGGCAGGATTCTTGACTGTGTTCTACAAGATGTTACTTTTGCAAGCGGAGCAATGCTTGGCGACATACCTGTTGTCCATCCGGATCAGTTTGCTCGTCACCAGGCTGTTCAACTTGATGCGATTGCACCGTGGGCAAGCCTGTACCAGCAGCATCGGCCACCGCCCACTTGGATTTGAGTTCAGCGGCCATGCTTTCCAGTGAAGCTCGCGTTCTGTCCAGACAACTGGTCGTATTGATCAAGGCAGTCCTATCTGAGTCTGCTCGAGCCGTTAGTGCACGCACTTCAAGCATGCATTTGACATACCAAGGCTGGCTTTTATGGCGTTGACGTTAATTTGGGTCAGAGTGATGGGAGTGTCCAGGATATGCGAGACGGCTGCGCATGTTCCCTCGATTCCTTTACTCTCGTGGACAACTGTAGCCGTTGTTGGGTGAGTGAATTCCTTGGTCTCGTTATGCAGTCGTCCGGCGAGCTCGAGTGCCGCGCGTGATTCGGCTGCCATCGTTGCTGGGCAGGTGCGGTAGAGAGTGAGGAGGTGCCAAGGGCGACAGTGTGATGATGTAAAGCTAGTGTGTGAGCGGTGGGAATCAGATGGTTCGGGATGCAATAAGGAAGCAGTAGGTGGAAATCGAAGGTCATGCGTGCGAGGGCGTTGAAGGGCGCTCAGATGGCAGGTGCGGATTCAGCACCGGCAAGGCCAGATGTGATGTTCGTCCGATTCACGCCCGGCAGATTCTGTCGCGCTGAGAAGGTGCGGTGCTCCTTCCCACGGTGACGTGCCAAGACCCAGGTATAGAGACTAGCCTCCGACTTCACTCTGATCCTGATCCCGATCTCCTAACACTCTTCCCATTCATTTCGTGCTCCGAGGTCACTGTCGACACAGCGGAATCTTCATTCCCTTGCTTCTGAAAATTTGCATACGGTGACGAGTCACTGCGCATGGACAATCGTAGTGGTAACAGCCAGAGGCGGGCTTGAGACGTCGAAAGCATGGCCAGACGTATTGACACCAGACAGGAGATGAAGACGGAGACGGAGAACACACATGCAGAGATGTACAATCTAACAAAGTTGGATATACGAATCGCACCCTAACGCCACCCAAGCCATTCCATAGTTGGACCCAAACATGCTATTACTACAATGATGCGCGCACTCAGAAGACGCTGATGTAGTTACCAATGCGCTCCTTTTGGTTCTGCGCGATGCACTCGGCTATCCATGTGATGTTCCGGATTTCCTGCGTATCATGTCAGTCATTGTATTCTCTTCATGATGGAATCCACAACATACCTGCTCGCGCAGCTTCACCCATGCGTACACAATGGCGTGAGTGAACTGGTGAGTGAATGCAAGCTTCGAGATCTCCATTTCTTTCTGGTAAAAGAGATCCTCGAGACTCCTCGTCTCACCACCGACACCACCGGCCATGTTGCCCACACCACCGCCACCTCCACTGAGGCCGGTCTGGTCAAAGAACATTTTGTAGTCGGCAACACTCTCAACAGCGATTCGCACACCCTCTACGTCGTCCGCTCTCGAGAGCATTGTGGTTCCCTCCGGGTATAGCTTGCCGAAGCCTGGGTAAAGCTTCTTCCTGTCTGCCTTGGACAGCTCGGTACCGAACGAGTTAAGGGAGATGTTGATGCTCCTGCGGTCGGCCTCGAACTCCAAAACCTCCGACATGACATCTGCAGTCGGTGTTCCGGCAATGTCTGGGCAAGAGTTGATCCACTGATGGAAGTCCTCGAGGTAGTTCTTGTACAGGGTGTTGCGGATAATCTCAATGTTGAGTTCGTCGAGATCCTGATGGCTGAGCGAGCCCTTGAAGTAGGGCGCGAGCGGCGTCTCAATCAGGACGGAGTTGTATAGTTCCTCGATGTTGGTCGCCACGCACAGCACCGGCATGGTCTCGAACCAGCCGAGCGGGTGACACCTTTCCAACAACTCGCGCGTATCTCTCTCGTGCAGAGTACCCGTAATCAGCAGCGCGACATTGTCGATCATGTATCCATACGTGAGGTATTCCATAAACTTGGAGAGCGAGCCGGTGGCGTTGGCCTGGAGATAGCGGAACTCGGCCACGAGCTTGTCGGTGGTCTTCGCGGCGAGCGCAGACGTGGACGGGTTCGGGGGCAAGTTGTTGAGGAAGTCACCGTACGCGGGCGAGAGCTGCAGCTTGACATCTGTAGCATTGTTAGAGCGGTTCCAGAGGCAGTAGCGACGGGATGCGATGTACCGTCGATGGTTTCGCACTGGGTCAAGTTGCTGTAGTTCTGGCTGGTGAGCAGTGCATTGCGGTAACCGCGCACGATGCCCTCGATGTAACTGTAGAGAGACGTCAGATATGAATGAAGCGACGACGAACGCGTGTATCATACCCGTATTTGACGTTGTAGTAAAGGCCCTCCATGATGCTGATGCTGGCTGCTGTCGACCGTCGCAGGCAAAGAGCTCCAGCTTGGTCGTCATGCCAAGGCGTGGCCCGTGTCGCGCCTGCCTCGATGGTGCTGGGGTGTTTACGCGCTAGCCCCAATGGCCGGAGGTGCATGTACAACTTTCTTAACTCCATCGCAACTTCCCTTGCCAACGCACCCCGACAACGCAACCATCCCAACACACCTTCGCAGCTGCATCTGTCATCAGATCATTCACTGCTTATTGGCAATTCCATCGCAACTGCCTCGTACGTCCCCGCTGCTGTTGCGCACCGCTCCTACTGACCTCGCTCGCAGTACCATGTCAGCTACTACACGGCGCTCAACGCGTCGCACTGCAGCGACAGCGGCCACCGAGTCCTCGCAGCCCGCCTCCAGGCAAAGCTCACAGTCGGCATCGCCTGCGCCAGAGGCTGCCCCCAAGAAGAGGCCCGGTCGCAAGCCCAAGGCTGCCGCCGCCAAAGTCGAGTCGCAGACCGTGACAGAGTCGCAGCAGACAGTCACCAAGGGTCGCGCTACGTCACGCGCAAACGTCGCTTCCGCCGTCACCACAACAACCACCACATCATCAACAACCAAGACCGCGACGCAAGCGCCTGTTGTCGCCAAGAAGCTCACCAGAGCCGGTCGCCAGGCGCTGAAAGAGGCAGGCGTGGAGGCTTCGCCGCAGCGCAGCCTGGAACAGACGAAGCCCGCCAAGCAAGGACGCGGCACAGCCCGCCAAAAAGTCACCAGTGAGAAACGAAAGGCAGTGGCCGCAAAACTGGCGGCGGCCAAGGCCATCGAGAGCGCCGAAGACGAGGCCGAAGCCGAGAATGAAGATGGCATGGGCGCCTTCTTCACAAAAAGTAAGCACCATCTTCCCCATAGTTACACCCCTTCAGAGGAAGAAATCGACAACGAGCTCCGCAAGGAGAAGTACGAACACCAAGAGAGGGAGATTGATCATCTCCGCGAGCGTGTCACAAACCAGGAGGCTCGCATCCAGAATCTCGTGGAGATGATGTGGCAGAAAGATCAGCAGATGTTCCTCTACGAGAACGAGAACCTGCGTCTGCGCATGGAAATCACGCGACTAGAGAATATTCCACACATTAGCTACGGTACTCCGGCTAACGTCAGTTACGCAGAATTCGACAGTGAACTAGTAGCAATCAGCGAGTCATCTCCGGCACATGGTGTGTTTGTGAATGGCAACGAGGAAGCCCTTGCGCTCCTCCACAAGATCGAGAGCTCTGCCAAAGAGACCAGGCGCGTTGAGCCCTCAAGCAATGACAGTGAAACATTCTCAGACAATGACGTCGCCATGGAACCTTCACCACAACAGCCGTCTGCTAAGAGAACCTTCGAGGATGTCACAGCAACGCCCAACCGCCCCGTCGCAACACCATCCAACATCTTCAGCAGGTCATTCTCTGCTATCAAATCCCGACTTTTCTCCTCGACCCCCAAGCCCCCGCCAACCCCCGAAGTCGCATCGCCCACCGTTACGAAGCCTCTACCACCCCAGAACACAATCACCGAGACCCTCTCCCTCCCTCCTACACCTGTTGGCGAGCGCGTCAAGACACCGAACAAGAGGCGTGCGCCCATGAACACACTGCTGAAACTACTGCTCAAGGGCGTCGACCGCAAGGACAGGCACAAGGCAGAGGAGTGGGCCAAGCAGGTCATTCCTGAATTGAAGAACGATCCTGCTTTCAGCGAGAAGCGTGCGCGTCTCCAGAAGGACGTTCTGTGCAAGGAGCTGTCGAATTTTCCCTCAGCTAAGCCTTGGGAGACTGGCTTCGGCGACCCGCTTGGTGATCTGGATGATGACGATGTTGTACCAGTCTGGGCTGTCTATCTCGATATCGTGGCTGAAGAAGAAGAGCACACCGCTAAGAAGCACAAGAAGACTCACGAATTCACCACGGGCGACGACGAAGTTCCTACCATCGACGAGCAGTTCGCCGCCAGCAACGGCGCGCGCACTTCACCAAAGCTTTACAACAGCCATGGCCAGTCCGCTTCACTCCGTGACTTCCATCCTCGTCGCTCAATCGACCCATCACCCATGTTCAGCAACTCCATCTCGCACAACACCGGCGGTAACATCTTTAGCGAACTACAAGGACACGACACCGCGGCACAGATCCGAGAGAACGATCGTGAGGTCCTGAAAAGCGCAACCAAGGAGAACACCCACTCCCATAACCCAGGCATGGGCTCTTTCAGCGTCCCCGATGATGATTCTGATGAAGAAGACTCTACAATGGGCAGCGAGAGCGCTGACGCTGAAGCTACTCCTATCTGGACCCAACCACCCCCACCAGCCCCCGTTCCTGCGCATGCTCCCCTGCCAGGCGGATCTACGGATGAAGCGTCTGATGTGCCCGAAGCGCCCCCAACTCCTACCCGCCAGCAGCCTGGAGATGAGATTGAGCGCCAGCGCCAGAGACTCATGAAGCACACACCTGCTAAGCCTTCCCGTCTCCGCGAGGCAACCTACCCATCACCAAGCATTTTATCGGAAGCTGGCAACGTGTCACTTCTTGCCGCTACTCCTGCACAAATGGCAACGTCCGCATCGTCCATGTTCGACGACATGCCAGGGGCGGAGATTATCGAACTTGATGACGAATGTCAAGCTGAATTCGAAGATATCATCAACAGCCACGAGTACCAGCAGAAGTTCAATGTCGAATGGCAAGCGCCCACCCTCACCTACGAGTCAGATGAGGAGGAGCCAAGCCCTACCTCCTCGTCGTAAAGAAATTGTTTATACTGCATTGTTTCGGCGTTCCTCACCTTCACACGAATCGAAATTGATCAGCCGGAATCAAATTCCTTGCCTGTGGGCATTCTTCTTTATTGTATTGCTTTTTTTCTCGTGTTTGCATAGCTGTGCGTTGGTTTTCGCAAGTATACGACCTCTCGTGGGTTGGAAGATGCATTTCTTGTTGGCGTTCTCCAGGGTCATAAACACGGATGATTGACGAAAGCTGTATACCCCTCGGCCGTTGTATGGTCGAAAACTAGGCGCACGTTTTAGCCTAGTAGTTGCGTTGGTTTCTTGTTC